TAGTGGCATCATCATCCGGTCGCCGCCCGTCAACCACATCTTGGTTGGATCGTTCCCAATCTCTGTATACCCACCTCTGATCTCTTTGGAACATGCGATTCTGAGTATAGCGCTCCACTCTCTTTTTGTAACGTCTAATACGGTTTGCCCATGCATAAACTTTCTGCTTCAGGAAGTCGATGCGCTCTGTAACACGTGACAGGTATTCATGAGGACTGGTTTCAGTCCCCACAAATGCACGTCTTACAAAGCGCATCACTCTAGGGCGAGTATTGCCCTCCCTGAAGCAGGATAGTTTGCCAATGAGTACCCTGGCCTCACTGATACGACGCTCTATCCTATACTGCCAGGCAGGTACTGCTGGTTTTGGTCGGACTGCTGCGTCAAGATTTGGGAATCTGACGTTAGCCACTCGACAAGCAGCTACTGCCCCACAGTACAAGATTGAGTGTGTATCATAGAGGTTTTCGCTACTCTCAAAATATTTTTTAAGTAGCGAATCCAAGGCGCTCACCAGCGCCCTATTTTTTCTACACATGGGCAAACGTGGTAATTTTGGTCTTAAATTGCTAGGAGCAAGTCTATACTCACGAACCGCATCCTCCAAAGCACTCCTCAGTCGTTCATTGCACTGAGTACTCACTTGTTCAACCCTGTCATCCTCCACACCAACGATAGGGGTGGTTGGCGTCACACATTGTGAGACTATAGGTGTTTGTGCCACCGATTGTGGTGGTGCAGGGACGACACGATTGCGCAGTGCTTCTAGGCGTAGCCGATCAAGCGCAGCCTCATCCAACCTGCGATTGCGTTGGATGACCCGCACCTGATCCGACAGTCGTTGGGCCGAGACGCTGATAGATGGCTCAAGAACCTGAAACATAGACAGCATCCTTTCACGGTACGCAGTGAGGTTAGTCCCTCCCTCTGTAGCACCGTAGTACGAGCGCATGACGTTCTCATTTATGGTTTGAGACCATTTCATGCGCCGCACACAACCACCGGTAGCGGGGACCCGTCCCGGGGCCTGTTGGCCCCTGGCTCCCAAGCCCGTCGGTGGCCGGCCTCTCCCCGGCCGACGTACAGGTGTCGGCGACGTCGGCGGGGAGAAATAGTCGTCGCTCGAGCTCGACGCAACTGCTGTCACCGGTGATCCTGCGGAGCTGGGGTCCGGTGACGGCGAGGCGGAGCTGAGCGACGAGTCCGGAGGTGGTGGGGGTGCGCCTTGTCGTCTTCTGGCTCTCGTCAACATCAACGTAACATTTTATTTTTCTGTTTCATAATCTTCGTTTTGCATGTTGTCAATTTGTCACTGTCAAATTCCATTTTTCTTCATTTATTGTTTGTATAATGCTATTAGATGTTGATTTTGTGGTAAGTATATATTATTATAAAAAGGTTTTTTTATTATTATTATTATTATTTTTTGTGAATAAAAAAAAACTTGTTATTTTGCTTATTTTGATTATCATTTATTTTAATATAACTTTTATACTGCCAACTGCCATCCTCTGTGTTGCCAATGATTTTACTTTACTATTTTTTTGGTCCAGTAAAGTGGTATCTAACACGTTCAGTTTCGATTGCCCCACACCCGGGCTAATTTAAAAAACTCAATTTTCAATTTTGCCGAGAGCAAGTGTACCCACTGCCCTGTGTGTGCGAGGACAAACTGGACAAACACAAATTATCTAGTTCTATGTTTTCTAGCACCAATCTAGGTACACACGGCCACACATCAATCTATACAAAACCAGTTTCTCCTGGTGTCGCGTCGCATCATCTTTCCGCACATTTAACGTTCAGTTTAGACTGGTTATGTAAAGCTCGATGTGTGGCCGTGTGTACCTACACAGGTATTGTATGATGCAACAATACGGCAGAATGAGGTCAAATTAAGCACAAAATCAGCACTCTGATACCTTCTGATACATACTTTTCGTATTTTCCGAGCCACGGCCACGGGTGATCCGTTGTTGCCTATAATGATCATTTTAATTTCGTATCCTTTAACAGTTTTTGTTCAATCCAGGAATCGAATATAGGATAGCAACAACTTGTCATCCAGCCACGGCCTAGCGGGGAGGAGAAGCATGGGTAGAAACGCCGCGTCGCTCGCTGGGGACCGCCGAGTAAGGCAAGTCGATGATGCGGGAAGTCGTGTCATCCAATGCACCCTTCGATGCGGTTACAGTTGCCCACCGAATACTTAAACTTTATTGTATAGTGTTATCATCTCTCAGTAGTACTTAAATTAATTAAATTATTTTCGATTTATGTATGTTAGCGACGATGACGTTAATAATGAAATTCTTATCTTATTATAATATATATTGAATAAATAATTAAACCTACTTACACCAGTGTAATTGGTCTTATCCAATGTTGCGCCGGCTGCGCGGATAAGTAATATGTTGTGAATTTTCCCTACCCACCCAGTGTCTCCTCTTTCGATTTTCAGCCAAATTAAAGTCACTGAGTAATAAAAGATACTTAGATAAAAAAAATACAACTTTATAATTTGCTACTTCAAATTGTTTATTATATATAAGTATACATATTTTAGACAATTATGCATTGATATTTGATATGAACATTAAGCAGAAAACATTCTACACATTTCTATAATAAATATTTTTTAACTTGTTGTAATTACAAAAAATAATCCATTATATTTTAGGACAACATCACATCTAGAGATCATTATTTGGCACAAATGTTTCTGTCTACATTACTAATGAAGACATAGTTGTATCAAGTAAGAAGTAGGTATAATTAAAAAATCAGATCTCATCATTTCAAGTGTCTTTCTCTAAAAATCATTGAATCGTTCTTTGTGACTTCCTAAGCTCAGAACTTTCAGTCTCTTAGCCTCTCAGGACATACTTAGGCTGCCTTTGGCTTTTCCTGTGCTCCTAACACATATGCTTGAATCTCTTTAAACGTCATGGCTACAGAGGCATTTAGAAAATGATATTATAACTAAAGCTATGCGTAGTTAGAGCCATTAATAAGTAATTTTACAATATTGCAATCATTCTGTAACAAGATAAGTTTGTTATTTAGAGAACTTTAAGCATACATCGGACACACATACCTAATGAACTACAATATTATTACACTTACAACATTCATTCACAATAAAATATTTGTGCCCATTAGACATAGAAAGCATAACATTATTGATGGCTTACAAGTTATATAAATATTCAATTGTAAATACAAAGGTATATTCAGAAAAAGTATATTTACAGGACATCTAAATAAGGTTTGACATCCTGTAAGTTCATTCTTTAAAATATTGTACAAAATTATTATCCTACATCATTAAAATTGTAAATAGGATAGGTGTAAACAATACATTCGAAAAATTAATAAGTACAAGAGTTATAAAATAAAATTAAAATCATCTTAATTAAATTCATTTAACAAGAGTAAATATAACTATTAAAATTATTGTTTCATCTCATATTGTATATTATTATCTACCATACACCAAGTGTTGATACAAGATAGCCATTCATTATTTTTCTTAAACTGATAAATTTGTTTAAACTGTCAAACACGAAGCGGTCACCGGTGACCGCAACCTATTGTTCTATAATTGTGTCTATAATGACGGTACTTGACAAGTTAAACAGTTATTATAAACGCATATAACGTAAAGCATGCACCATAAAGATATAACAATATTAAACTTATTGTATGTAACAAAACACACAACAAAAGAATAGTAACAAGTCTATGAACAAACATAAGGCAAGTAAAAATAAGTTGTGCTAGTTTTTGCAACATGTTTAACAAAATAACAAAATATCACATACCACTGCCATTTATATAATGCATATACAAAAATATAAATGAAATTTGTTTTGGCAAATTTAATTTTGGATGTCTAACCGTTCCCGTAGACGAATGTATATTTTTAAAATGGGCCTCAATGTTGTTGCTATCATACTCATTAGCACCAAAACAAAGCAGAGAATTGTCAACCACTGTGGATTATCCTTCTTCCACCAATTCGAGAAGAAGCCCAGTAAAATAGTGGTTACCCCTAAACAGAATGTCAGTAGACCAGCTGATGTATGGATCAATTTTGTGTATATTGGGGGCAGGTAATGTTTTAATTTCAAACTATTAAGAGCACCTAAACCTCCCAACATGGTCATCAAGAGGAAAATGAATGATGCCAATCCAAATTTACCATGATAACTGGTAAAGTGATAAGCACTGTTAATAAATTTGTTAGTTACAATTACAATGAATCCAGTTAATATTATAGTACCAGCTATGACTTGAAGAATCCAATGACGAGCACTCTTTAGTCGTATAGGCATCCAGCCTGTCGCAAGATCACCAGGAGTAAGAGCATGCATTGCCGATGTCATGAATAACATCCACTGAAACATTACATCATTATTCGGATATTTATCAAGCGCGTAAATATTGTAACATCACTATCACAGTAAACTTACCCCAAGTGTCATTAAAGTTGGATGGAACGAAAACAGCGTCACATCGTCTTTAAAACAACAATATAAAATGATGCCCAGGAATACCAGACCGCATATATTTGACAAAATATTCAAATAACTTGGCGAGGTTTCAGTATTTGGAGCCACCAGACGTGATGTTTCAGATTTTCTGTCCGACGGTCCCATTTCTGCCACACCAGTATCTTCTCCACCCAGATCCATAAATATTGTCCAACCTCGAAGTGTTTTAAGAAACAATTGCTTTTATATCAAGAGAACTGGTGGAGTTCACCTAATTTGTATGCAAATAAAGTACGACGTGTATATTATTGTGTACCTACGCAATGTACTTAATTGATTTTTATTGATTATTTTACTTTCAGATAACTTCACTATGATGTGTGATACCGTAGGGTTGTCGGTTTATTGTGTGTTTCACATTGATCAATAAAAATTATTTGATTAAGCATCATTCAAAATGAACTGGGTTTTGTATTAATTTAAGTCGTACCGTTATGTTAAATAATAAAATAATGTTTCATATTCTGGCTCTGGCTATAAATTAACATAAATTAGCGTGACATCATACATTATTTTTAGGTAACGTAGGTCATGGTACAAGATCCTACAACTAATGTAGGTATTATAGATATAATTCTGAAATGAATGAGATCTGAATTTAGCAAAATCAAATTTTAATTCTCCGAGTCCACGAGTAGTGTGCAGATTGTATCCATTTAGCATAAACAGGTAGACCATTCCTCATTTCGTTGACTGTTAACGGATCTAAAGTAGTAAATTGTTCAATGTTCAGTTGTTAAAGAGAGATAATAAGCGCGTGCGCCTATTTAACTTTACTTGAATAATTCGACAAATTCTTTTTTAATACGGTAGTTACTCGTACATAATTATAGGCACCTATCTATACACCACCTACCTATACTACTTATTTATTACGTGTCCTTGTGATTTAATAACTCAGCTCATAAGTTATTATAGTATGAATATTAAGAAAAAGTATAGAAAACCACTACCTAACATCATGACCATCGAACAAAATTAATGTAATCCTACCAATTCTATACATAACTATATACATACTTCTTTAGTATCCATCTTATTCGTGAAATGAACCTATATTTTTGTATGTGTAGGTACTATCCATGATGCACTATCCACTATCCAACACAACAATAGTATTCAAATTTATACCAGTAGTTTTGGACATAACTGCGTTCAAACAAACAAACTCTTCAGCTTTATAATATCCAGTAAGTACAATATGATTGCTGAATTTGTTTTTGTACTGTAATTTTTGTGAGATATAGATAATGTCACGCCAATGACGAGAGTCTCGCTTTAGAGGAATATATTTGTGTAAGTATGTTTCACCGTCCTGTGGAAATATCTGAATGAAAAGTATCGTTTGTTACTTACCAATCAAACATTTATTTAAATTGGTTGGAAGACAGAAGAATATCTCGGTCATGTACTCAGACATACATGACTGATAAGCAAGTACACATGTTGAGTGCGACGTTGCTAATGTCCTTGCATACTGCTTCATCTTTCAACGATGGATACGATGGAAGAAGGGAAGAAAAGCCCTGGACGATGGAAAAAGTCGTGGAAACGTTATATATAAGATTGGACCGGTATGCCGGTATTAAGTCGGTGGAACAAATGTTTCACCTGGTCAATGACTTCCCCAATCAGTGTACCGTTCAGATCGGTCTATTAGTCTCGAATAATAAATCTTTCCTCTTTATGTTTTAGAACTATTAGACATGATTAGTACATCAATATTATTATTTTATCGTATATAACAACTTTTTTTTAAATCATCCAGTGCCATCCCTAAAGAAAGATAAGTTGAATGAACTGAAGGTGTTTCAGGTCACTGAACAAAGTTTGTCAGACTGAAATATTTACCGTTAACCATTTCTATTGGACAGATTTTTCTTCAAAATGGAGGTAAAATCACTATGCTAATAAACCGGTACAATTCTATTATATAATAAGCTTATTTTTAAATATATTAATCATTTATTACCTGATTTGAAGGCAAGGGTTTTCTTATTATTGTGGTAGAATTTTTGTTATGGCAACATCGACAACTTGTGTCAAAAAATGCAGTGTTTTGATTGGCTGTTTCCAATACCAACGCAGTGGTTGTTTGTTATTTCTTTCTGTTTCTTACAGTTAAACAAAGACAGAGACTCTAGTACAAGTCGTAACTTGTTCGCTCTGTAAATAATAGAGGTAATGTCATTTTATATTAGTTTGAAGTTTTCGGTTTTCTACATCGGTAGTCTCAGTATCAATACAAATAATATAGTGTACGAGGCGCTTTTATTTTCATCTTAGCAAATGTTTATAATGAAGACCATCAGTTAGTTCAGTGCTGTGAAAAGACAATGTTTATCTACGTTTTTAGAAATTGCATCTTATTGTAAACATTGATGTTTAGAGAAATATTTAGGTGCTTGAATTTCATCTAAAACATTTTGTTATTGCTCAAATTAATGTGCTTGGCTATAAATGTATGTTGGAGACAGTTGTGACTTGACCAGACAGGACCAGGGATAAAGTGCGGCAATATGTTCAGGTGAGTTACAAAGAAATATTAATGATTCTTTTAAAAAATTTTGTTTGTTTTGCTGATTAAATTACTCACTTAAAATTAATATTTAGTTTTAGACTTTATTTATTATGTTTAAACCAAAAAGCATTAATTTAAAGCCTAATCTAAAGTAATTGAAGTTTCATGTCTAAACAAGTTTTGTAAACAACATTTATTTATAATTTTAAACTACCCTAAGCATTTATATGGCAGGTAGAAGAAGAAAGAATATATTATGACCAACACAAATTTTACTTTAGTTATGTTTTAGCTGTAGTGATATTGCTTCATTATATTTTTAAAGACTCTCCCTTATTGTTAGCTGTGCATCAGGTACCTCATTGTAGATAATACAACTATCTTAGACATAAATTGATTTGTGGGAGCTTATTATAATACTCACTGAACCAATATTTGATTTGAAACCCTGTGGAAATATATATAATAGTAATAATAGATTTTAATCATATTTTTTCCAACTAATCTGAATTGCAAATTTTGGTCTGTGAGTTTATCCTATATTTAATTAGCTGTGATTTAATTCTATAGATCTGACAGAATTTTCTTTCTTTTTTAATACTTTTTTATTCACTGTTTTAGTTCATTTTAATTTGTATATATTTATTTATAAATATGTTATTTATTTAAGTGTATTATTTGTAAATAGATAAAATGTCAAATCAATAAAAGATAAATAGGTACCTACAATAAAACAAAATTCTACAGATTATTATTTATGCTTATTAATTACTATTCATGAGCAAACAACTGACCTGTGTGACTTACAACCTTGGTGGTGAGTTATCTAATATTAGTCATAGCCACATAACCTTCTCATGTTTACCATGGCACCTAGTTGTGTGATAATCATTTAAATTCTGTACAATGCTAAACAATCAGTTCTTTAAAAAAACATGTTTGGATGAGTTATATTTTTTATTATTCTATGAAGTGTAACAATTAGGTACATAATATTAATCAGCAACTGAAAAAATATGCTGTAATTATTATGTTTTAATTTTTTTTTTATTTTTTAATTTATAAATAAATAAATAAAAAAATAAAAATAAAAAAAATTAAGTTTTAAATGATTAATAACTGCTGTACCTACTTAGTTATTAATAAAAATAAAGTTAAGTAAAACACTTACTTTTATTTAAATTTAGAACAACTTTAGATTAGAACTGTTTTGGTTTTCATTCAAGCTTTATGAATGTCATATTTTTGTGAATTGTTCCTTCAACTGGTGTGGTGGTGACATAACTATTATTATAATGTTTTGTTATGAAAACTGTTGGCATTGAAATTGAAGTTCAGTTGCTACTTGGTATATCATGATATCTTTGCATTTTGATCATCAAGCATATCAGTCATTAATGGGGCACATGCTCTAAAATTCGCATTTTAACTAAAAGTGTATGAATGAACATAGTCCAGTATAAAATAGTCATCGTCATGTGATATTATCAAACTTTGCCCCATATTATTATTTTCTTTTGTCATTTAAAACATAACTATAAATTCCCACACTTGGCAAAAACACGTTGTTTACCTATCACATTAACATATTGTCCCATGCGGGAATCGAATCGAACCTAGGACACATTGATCCATGCAGTACAATTTTATTTAAAAGGCTAAAATAAACCTAATCCCGACAATGAAGTCCCATATCGCGTAGCGTCGAATCACTGTTAACAAACCCGTCGTATCTATACGTATTATTATTTTTATTGTTATTGATGATCGAAAGTAAAATCGATGATTGACTATTAGACCAAAGCAAAATTTTATTTTATTTTATAATTTTACGAGGGCCTAGTGACTAGTGCGAGTTTTTTTACGCTAACTCGATCGTAAAATTATTGCGTTTAGCCACAGAATAATAGTTTAGCCCTCTAACCGGGTTGCCGGGGATCCGGCTAGAAGTGCAGGAGTAGGAACGGGGTGGTTTTTTGTCAGTAAGAGTCTGACACTCCCTCTCGCCGTATCCGGGCGGGATGAGGCATTGGATGATTTTCCCCCCTCAAAAAAAAATCCTTTAATTGATTGGTTAATTGGGGCAGGCCAATCAAAGCGCCGAACGTCATTAACGCGTCGATCGCGAACAGCTGATTCATATCACTAAGTAAATCACTGTCCTCTATAATCTCTTGTAATACATATTTATTTATCTCGACAACCTAATTTCCAGTAGAGTTTAGTTATCTGATCCAATTTAGTCGTCATTCTTAAAATAATATTTCGATCTGACGACGTCCCGGTTCATTAGATAGGTCTAAATGTCTGAATGTAAATTGATGACTGACCTAAATAAATTACGTGTTCTGATGACGTTGGTATTCTCTATTCAGTTACTGCTACTGGTCAATACAATAAATATCGCCATTGAACTTGGCAACAAGAATGAGAAGCGCTTTGCCTCTGGTTAGTCTACTTTCAATAATTTGTGGTCACAGCGTAAATGTTCGATTGATTAAAGCAGGGACTGAAAGCGGTTAAGGTATAACGGTACGGTACCGGTATAAAATAAGTGTACCGAAATTAAAGCTATACCGGTATTTAACCTTTATGCGATAACGGTACCGAAAAACTTAGATTTGACCGTTGCGAGACGTAAAGCTAGGAGTGTGCGGGGTGTGGTGCGAGGGGCCCCACTCCGAGGCGTGGAGCAGCGGCAAGCGAAAAACGCGCGCCTGTGTACCTGTTTATTCGTGTCACTGCTGCAACTAAACTACGCTACCGTTGTATGATTTGTGTGTACCGTACCTATCTAATAACTATATAATAGTCGTGTAACTATTAACTATGAGGCGGAAACGTAAAAATGCAGTATATGGATTGAGATATAAGTACTAATGAGTACATGCGTTTTTTTCATTTTCCAAGGAAAGTAATGTTTCTACATATTTAGTAACTGGATGCTTAGCTATAATAAAATAAGTATTGTACCCATTCATTGTAAACTTTGACCGGTCAGTGAGTATAGATGCAATATAGGTACTACTTATACAACCTATACCCTAAATGTAATTGGTAGGTATGTACATAATTATCTATCTTGTAGCTATAAGATACCTAACTATAACATTTATCTTATTATTCGGTACGTACCTATCTAAACTTTCGGATATCCTAGGTAGGTGTGTACCTAAGAACATCGTAATGTTTGTTTACTTATATTACATACCTACATAAAACCAGTCATTGGGTATCGTTCGTTAGGGTAGGTACTTACCTAAACTTTGATTATTTACTAGGTATATATAATATTATGTTCATAAGATGAATAGGATTAGGTACCTACCTTGGAATTTTAACTACAATTATTATATAATACAAATTATACAAGCCCAAACACAAGGTAGTTACTATAAACCGTTGATGAGTTCCCTTAACAATTACAGTTCTTCATCATCAGACCGTCAATGATTAGTCCTACTCCATCTAGGTGTAAAGTTCTCATCAATACAAATCAATCAAGCCCAAACACAAGGTAGTTAATATAAACCGTTGAGGAGTTCCTTTGACTGTCTGTCGGCTCCATCATCAGGTCGACTCCAGACCCTTTTCAAATTGTACATACATACTTACATAACTTCACGCCTGTCTCCCACGGTGGGTTTTTTCATCACCTATCATTACCTGACATTCTGTTATCACCTCATTTCTTTCTATCACCAACACTTTCGTCTTGTTCACATTTACTTTCATACCTTTCCTTTCAAATGCATCATTCATAGCAGTGATCATTTGTTGTAATTCTTGGGCCGACGAGGCAACAAGCACTGGTCGTCGGCATACAACAATGTTTTAATCACTGTGTCATTCATCCTTAATCCAGACTCTCCTACTTTCAGGTCGTTCAAACAGCTGTCCATAAATAGGTTGAACAGCCAAAGAGATGCTACACAGCCTTGCCTAACAACTCGATTAATTTTAAACCACTCTGTGTAGTCCCCATTTATTCAGACAACGGCACTCGAGTCCTTATATAAGGATTTAAGTACCCGAATCAGGTGGCTATCCACCCCATACATGGACAGAGTTGACCACAATTCATCCCTCACCACTCTGTCATAAGCCTTTTCTAGGTCTATAAAGGCACAAAATACCTTTTGGTGCTTTGATAACACTTTCTCTGAAATGAACCGTAACGAAAAGACTTGATCCGTACATTTCTTGATCCCATTCCCTTTCGAAATCCCGCTTGCACATCCCAGATTTTACGCTCAGTTACATCCATCACTCTTTCGATCAATACCTTGGCATACAACTTTCCTACTACGCTTAGGAGGCTTATACCGCGATAATTTTTGCACTCCTGCTGTGATCCTTTTCCTTTATACAGTGGCACAATTACGGCCTTGGCCCAGACTCCAGGGACACGACCGCACCGCCAATACTTATTAAAAATTAGATACACCAGGCTTGCAATTACACCTCCACCCTCTGTTAGCATTTCAGTAGTTATCCTATCACATCCCGCTGCTTTACCTACTTTCAAACTCTTAATGGCACTCACAATTTCATCCATATTTATTTCTCCCACATTAGCACTTTCATTTTCATCGTTTACTTCCTCTTCTTTCAAATCACTCCTTTCAAATAAATTCTCGAAGTATTCCTTCCACTGCTTTAAAACATCCTTACTTTCTTCAATGACACTCATTTATATCCCTTATCGTACTTACTTTCGAGTCCCCCACTTTGCCTCTGGCCTTTCTAACTAAATGCCAGAATAGTTTAGCGTTGGCTCGAAAGTTCCGCGAAAAATTCCTTTCAAACTTTTCCTTGCATTCATTTTTCTTCTTGTTAACTACCGCTTTTGCTCTCTTTTTGAGACTAATGTACTTTTCTATCATACTTTCTAGCACTCTTCTATTTGCCTTTGAGGCTAATAAGTCGAGCCATGCTTTCTTCTTTTGCTCTATCACCTCTTTTACTTCATCATCCCACCATTCATTCCTCTTGCTTCCAGTGTT